AAAATGATTTAAATAAATTAAATTATTAGTTCTTTTGTATTTTTTATGAAAAAAGTTTTTTCTACGACCGTGTATTTTTACCCACTTTCCCGCACGCATTTTAGTTTAGAAAGTGTCACTTTCCCGCACTAGTGCGGGAAAAAATCACTTTCCCGCACTAGTGCGGGAAAGTAAAATTATGAATATTTGGCCTTACCTATTGTATAGTTTTTTTACCTCGGATGTTATAACTATTGTTACAATAGGTAATTTAGTATTTTTCAACTATTCCATTTAATAAAATTTACTTTTTTTCTTGCTTTCTGTTATAATTTTAATTTTTTGGAAAACTTGAATAATAGAGATATTTTTATATACCTTCTGTATATTTTTAAAAGTCAGACTAGGCTGTGACATGTATGGCTTGATATGGTTGCTATATGGTAACCAAGGCGTGTTATTGTTACAAAAACGTCAAAGTTGTTTGTTGAAGCGTCAACTGAATTAAAATAAATTAAAGAAATAATGGATTCATCGGATGAAGAGCTGCCCGAAGCCATTTTAAAAGCTGCAAATGAAGCACATTTGGAGGTGTTACCTGCCAAATCACGAGGAAGGTATGAAAAACAATACGACCATTTTGTCACATGGTGTAAACAGGAAGGGGTAAAAACCTACAAAGAAGAGGTGTTTCTGGCGTATTTTTCGCACCTAAGTAAGTTTTTGAAATCTAATACTTTATGGTCTCGCTATTCGATGGTGAAAAGTTTAGTAAAAATAAAACAAAATTTGGATATAAGCCAGTTCCATAAGTTAACGTCATTTCTAAAACAAAAAAATGTTGGTTTTCGAGCACAGAAGGCGCAGGTTTTTACCAAAGAAGATATATCCAGGTTTATGTTAGCCCCTGATGAGGTATACCTTATGATTAAAGTGAGTACCATTTTTGCTTTAGCTGGTGCTCTCCGCAGAGCGGAGCTTGTAAATATCACTCTCGATGATATACAAGATAAAGGCAATCTGATAGTTGTGAAAATTTCCGATTCTAAAAATCATTCTTCAAGATCATTTGTTTTATGTGAAGAAATAAATAATGGAAACTTTCTGAAGCTGTACAGAAAGTACGCAGGTTTACGACCACCTACCACTCCGCATCGCCGCTTTTTTATTAATTATAAGAAGGGAAAATGCTCAATTCAGTGTGTTGGCGTAAACACCTTTGGTAAGATGCCAACAGAGATTGCTGCATATTTGCGTCTACCTAATCCTGGACGTACAGGACACAGTTTTAGACGTTCTTTAGCAACATTCCTAGCAGACTCAGGTGAAGCGATAACCAATATAAAACGTCTCGGTGGCTGGAAGTCCACTACTATTGCTGAAGGCATTTCCGATTCTAAAAATCATTCTTCAAGATCATTTGTTTTATGTGAAGAAATAAATAATGGAAACTTTCTGAAGCTGTACAGAAAGTACGCAGGTTTACGATCACCTACCACTCCGCATCGCCGCTTTTTTATTAATTATAAGAAGGGAAAATGCTCAATTCAGTGTGTTGGCGTAAACACCTTTGGTAAGATGCCAACAGAGATTGCTGCATATTTGCGTCTACCTAATCCTGAACGTACAGGACACAGTTTTAGACGTTCTTCAGCAACATTCCTAGCAGACTCAGGTGAAGCGATAACCAATATAAAACGTCTCGGTGGCTGGAAGTCCACTACTATTGCTGAAGGCTATTTGGAGGACTCCGAAACACAGAAGAAAAATATTTCGAATAAAATTCTTTCAAATAGAAATGACTTGCAACCTTTGCTGCCACCGTCATTTTCACCTTCATGCGACCTGCAACCGATGTCACTCCCGTCCACGTCATCTTTTCAATCTACGAGCGTTACGACTATTAATTAACACCAACTAATTCCTCTGTACCGGCAATTTTACATAATTTACCAAATGCTACAAATTGTGTATTTAACATTAATATCCATAATAATTAGTTGTTTTTATTTAAAGATTTGTATATGTTGAAATAAAATAATTTTCCAAAAATAATTTTTCCTACTTTTTTGTATATACGGTCGTAGAAAAAATAATGTTCCTAACTCATGCGTAAAGTGTCTTGCCCGAACTCCGCTTCGCGTCGTTCGGGCCAACCGCAGTCGCGTGCGGGAAAGTAACACTTTCCGCACTTGTTAGGAAAATAACTATTTTTGTTTAACTTTCTTTATTAAACTTAAATCAAACCACGGAGGGTAATCATAACTACATTTTTTGCGTAATGGAACAAATAAATTAAAAAGTGAGTTTAATGTAGAATAGAACTAAAAATGACCAGTTCATTATGTCCAAAGCATTGTATAGACTTGGAAAATGAGCTATTAACTTGAAAATTAACGTGAATATCAGTCTTGATTGAAAAGTTTACAACAAGTGCAGGATAATTAAAGTATTCTGATACTAAGGGTTGAGTTTCTCGACATAATCGCAAGTTGCAGTCAAAGTTACACAAACCCAAATCTAGTAGTCTATTTCAAGCATTAGGTACATTATTAAACTAACTAAAATTACATAAATGAACAAAATCGTTAAGAATTGTCTTTTGCCTATCTTGAACGTTGACATTGTTAAAGGACGGTACATTGAAATCGCCAATCAAAATTATGTTTTCATATACAAATATGAAGTTTGAAAGCAAATCAAATAAATCTTCAAATATATTATACAAAACATAATGAATAAAAAAAATAATTAATTGTATAGTAATCCCTCTTTAACTTACCCCATCTTTATTATTAGATATTAAAGGAGATGCTGTTGCTATTACTAAGAAAAAAGCTACAACTACTATTATAACTTGCATGATGTTTCGCAGCACTCTAGACACAAACTTTTAATTAAATGATTTCACTAAAACAATATACATATTATTTATATAAGTGTGTCATTTTTCATAAAGGAAGTGTCAATAATTTATTTAACCAAAACAAAAGTGAAATTAGGTAACGTCTTTTATGGACAAAAAATGTCGTTATTATTTGAAATGTGTTACTGTTAAATCCGTTAAGGACGCTTACGAGGGTGTTCTAAATGTTTTGGTCTTGGAATTTTTTATTGGAATCTTTAATATGATTTTAATATTAGTTTTGAACTTTTGATTAAAATAATTAAATTCCTAGTTAACAAATGGTGCCCTGGTGTCTCGTAATAGGAATCCCTACGAGACCCTGCGGCCTTAAAAGACACCTAAATCTTTTAGGGAAATCTGATGACTCCCTTCCGTATATAGAATATGTGAAGATGAGGACAAAACTCCTATTCGCATACAATGCCACTGTAGGAACCTTAAATGGGAACGGGAATGGTAATTCGGAGTACAATATCCGGAAGTTGAAGAAATTGCGAAAGCGCCCATCAGAAATATTCTTGAATTGATCAAGAAAATCAATCTGATGGGATAGAAACTGTGAGAGGTACAATAAGCCTAGAGCTTTGAACCACGCCCTAAATCAATATAATATGCTTTCTGTAGCCATTTTTATAAGTCACTCTTTATAAATTTTTATAATTACAAAATTTTAAGCATAGCCGCCATCTTGATTTTTTTTAAATAGCAACATAGGTCATGTGATATACCATTTGAAAGGATTTAACACCCTAATTACAAAAATGTATCACACATGGGCTCTAAACACAACAGAAAGAATATTATTAATAGGGAGCGAAGGAGGTTGTGAATTTGACACAAGACGTCAAATATTATAACAATAACATTAATCGTTGATTAAGTTACAAGAGACAGTGTTGTATAGTAAAATAATTTGTTAAATTGAATTATTTCAAAGTAATTAGTAATAATGAATCCATTGACCGAAAAGGAAAGAAGTGAAATACTTATGATGGTTGGGTATGGAGAAAAAAAAACGCACACACGAAGATTTAGCCAATTTGTTCAATGGGCTAAAATATGCGCAAATATTTAGTTGAAATTCTGAAATTTTGGATTTTGTATGTTGAATCGTTTAAGCACTATAGGTTTGGTTCTATCTTTAACAGCTACCCTGTATATTATTTATATGTTGCAATGATATTTGTTTTAAAAAATTACTTTTAAAAAACCAAATTATTTATTTTCGCAATACTCTATAATAATAAACCATATTAATTCCAAATAATCTATTACTTATACTTTTTAGATCAAACGAGTATAAAAGAGATCTGGTATGAGCAATCTGATTTAAAAAAGTGGCATTTCAATGAACATAGCTCGTATTCTACTACAAAAATTAAAGTCTGATCTTCTTGTTTTACTTATTGAATATTACATAGAAGATACACGTCAATACATGCAATACAAATTATTGTTAGCAAATCTCATGTGTACCGCAAGGTTCTATTCGCATAGAGTTTTCTAGAAATACATCAAATTAGGCTAATTTATGGCGAATGGAGTAGAACTACTAAATAAAAGATGCTTACAAGAGCCGTACTTTTAGTTAAGAGACATACAAATATTTTGAGAGCAATTATTAAGCCACTTTTAGAATATTGTTTCCCATTTTACACCTATTTTAAAGTAACAATGTCCATTTAACAATGTCAAGATTCAAATAAAGAACATTTTGATTACAATCAGGAATTAAAGTCGTGCTAAATATTAAGAGAATATTTTATTTTTCATATAAATGGTTTCTGGTCCTTCATATAATTCTTTTTAAAATTAATTTCTTAAGTGGTATGTAATGATACTCAAATAACACATGATTTGAATAGAAGATCCAACCCAATTCTGTCCACGCACAATTGAAAAGTGAATACCATCGTCCATCATCAGCATACCAAATCGCACCGGATCCAGTAGCGGAACAACACCATAAACAAAAAAAGAAAATCATTAAAGAATCTTATTAATCAATTACATATTCAACCAAAGTCGCCCCCTGACCTCTATAACGTTCGGTATATAACTGCGCCCATATCAATTTATCATCATTATTATTTTCGTTTATTGTCCGTGAAAGATGTGGAGGTACTTCCTAACTGTTATCCTACTTGCTGCGAGCTCCTATGGACAGAGCACCCCCAAGTCAGGGGATGAGCTGGTGGCAACCGTTTTGGACAACTGCGTTGAGATGGATTGCGTGAAACAGAACGTGTTGGGATACTTGGATAACGTACTTCACATCCAGAGTGATGTTAGGAATACAAAGGTGATTTTTTAAGTGATTTTAAGTATGTGGTTATGTGAGAAATTGCCCTAAATTGTAGTGAGTTATAGTCAAAAAATATAATTAGTAAATTTAACGAAGAATTTATATGGCGATAACAAAACTGACAGAAATAGCTTTGTTAGTTATCCACTTTGAAGAAAATCTGGTAAATATAATTACTTTTTAACCGACGTCAAAAAAGGAGGTTCTCAATTATCGGTATATATTTTTTTATGTATATTCAGCGATAATTCTTTAACACGGTGTCCGCTTTTAATGATTCTTTTTTGCTAGAAAGGGGATACTTCAGGGGTAGTCCCATATAAATTAGGTCAAAATTTAATAATTGGGTCCATGAGAAGATCCTCAAATTCCTCATTTTTTATGTATGTTTAGCGATAATTCTTTACCACCTTGTCCGATTTCTATGATTCTGTTTTGTCAGTACGGGTGGTGCCTCAGGGGTGATCCCATATAAATTTGGTCAATAATTGGGTCCATGGTAAAATCCTCAAATTCTTCATTTTTTATATATGTTTAGCGATAATTCTTTACTACCTTATCCGATTTCTATGATTCTTTTTTTGTTAGTAAGGGGGTACCTCAGGGGTGGTCTCATATAAATTTGGTCAAAATCTAAAAATTGGGTCCATAATAAAATCCTCAAACTCTTCATTTTTTACATAAGTTTAGCAATAATTCTTTACCACCTTGTCTGATTTGTTTAATCCTTTTTTGTTAGTATCTCAGGGGTGATTCTATATAAATTTGGTCAAAATCTAATAATTGGATCCATGAGAAAATACTTAAACTCTTAATTTTTTATGTATATTTAGCGATAATTCTTTACCGCCTTGTCTGATTTCTATGATTCTTTTTTTGTTAGTAAGGGGGTACCTAGGGGTGGTCCCATATAAATTTGGTTAAGATGTGGTGATGGCATCGGCACGATCTTGAAGTCGATTTTTTAAAATTTCTTTTAATACTTGTCTGTTACTCTAATAATAAAATTATTATTGTTAGACTGATATAATGGTACTTTCTCAACTCGTGCGTTCGCAACTCGGGCGTAATATAAAACTACCTGAATTCGTCGCATCTCGGGCGCCCTCCAAAATTGTGCACCTGTGAGTTCGCAACTCGGACGTCGACGGGATATGAAATTTGACCATAGTTTATGTACCCTGATTCTGATTACAATCTGATTCAGGTAGTAATGCATTATCGAAAATTTAAGAGAAATAAATGACATCGTAGAATAAGCTTTCATTTTAACAGATAGCGAGCATTGAAAAGTTAGTTAATGTAAAAAAATTGAAGATTTTACCATTACGGTTTATTTTATCGAAATCATGTGTAGAATAAAAAATATAGAGCATGATATTGGGATCATTTTCAAATTATTGGCGATTTTTAAAATATTTCCGAAAATAATTTGGTCACTAGGGGTATTATAAGTGAAAATGAGAAAAATTCGAATTTTGCACTTTACCTCAAATTTCCCGAATTCGGTCTATTTTAGAGAAATGTATGGAACAAAAATTATAGAGAATTACATTGTAAGCAACTTTTATTTGAAGAATTTTCTTTAAAATTCGAATTTTGTACTTTTTGTCAAAATTCTCGAATACGGACCATTTTAAGGAAATCATGAATATGATAAAATAATATATAAATATTACGAAACGCCTCAGAAACATTTCTAAAACATTCCTAAATTGTAAAAATATCCTGTAAATGTAATATTTCATATATTTTATAAATAATAATTTGAAACCTATCAGAAATATAACATACTGATATTTCAGAAATGTATCAAACAACAGACGCAAACTTCCAATTATTTAGAATATATGGTTTTCTCTAATATAAAATTATAGTACTTAAAATAAAATGACTACAACATAACCCATCTTCTTTCTCTTCTTACAAATGAGAAAATTTTCAAATCTTGGCCATTTACAACATAACAAACATAAACCAACTTAATATTTCAAGTATAATCAATGAAAATGTTTAAAAATATGATTGCAATAAAGTAGAATAATTAATATTTTTAGGTAAAATATAAACAAAACGTCAAAGTGTTTCGATACAAAAACGTTTTAATTACGAGTTTTATGTAATTTAAAGAAACGTTAATATTAAACGTGTATGTATCTTAATATCCAACTTTCGGTTAAACCACAATTACATAATAACATTTAAAAAGAATATTAAAATAAACTAGAATAATTAATATTAAATTAACGTAGATATTTGGTTTACATTATTAACCAAACGTTAAAAAGGTTGAAATACAATAATATTTTACATGTTATATATATTTAACAAAATGATTAACTTTTAGTTACATAACAACGTTTAAATATAATATTAAAATATAGTTAAATAATTAATATTCAAATAAGGTATATATTTAGTTTAAAAAATAAACTAAACGTCTAAAACCTTATATGCACCCATTAGATATCAATTTTTATGAGTCGTATACGATTTGTCAAAAAAAATATTTTTGGCCAAGAGTAAAGTACATTCATTTTTGACAAACCTCGTATACGACTTATACAATTTGATATATGATGGTTGTATTTTAAGGTCTGAGATCACGCACAATTTTTTATGAGGACATTTTTTTCATAAAATTATTAATAAAAAAAAGTTTTCCATATACTATCCTAGTATACGGCTCAAAAATGTGATGTATTTTAGGTTTTAGACCATCCACAACTCTTTATGCTAAATAATTTTTTTTTGATAAAACTAATAAAAAAAAGTTTTCCATATGTAGCCAACTTACACAGACACCCTACATAAAAAATGTATTAAAATAAAAATTGATTAGCTAGCCGAGGTAGGTACACTATTATTTATCAATCTAATTATATAATAAATAAATTACACTTTTTTCACTAAAAACTACAATTTCAAATGTCATAACAATGTAATGTAAAGATTATGTTCGCATTATTTAAAAACTGGCAAGCTCCTCCTGTACGGCACTCTGTATATAATTTTAAGTTTAAGCCGAAAGCACCTTCTCAGGTACCGATCCTTGAACGCCCGAGTTGCGAAGGGTATTTAATCTACCTGTAGCCTTCCGCCCGAAATGCGAAAAATTAAGGATTCCGCCCGAGTTGCGACGCACGAGATGCGCATAAATCGATATAATTATTATTAAATAATTTTTATGACAGTACCCCTGTAGCACACATTTATTGGTTCAATATTGGCTAGTTCATATAGGGCCGAATTATAGTTTGTCAGATTGTTTCTATAGAGGCCCATTATTGTAAACCAATGTTGAACCAATATTGACACCCTACCTAGGACCAACATCTGAAATTTACCTGGGTCCAAGACTAATAATTTATATACGACCAATATTAAAAAGTTGTCTTGGACCAGTATTGGCTGTAAACATGCAGCCAATATTGGGTGAAATAATAAAATGCTTTTAATATTTATTTATTTTTTACAATTCAAAGTAAGTTTTGTAAGTTTAACATAAGCCATTACTCCGCTACGACTATAAATTCTTCTTGGTCATTCTCTGTCCTCTGCATCTTCCAAAAATAGTGAAACTGTCTTCTTTATTTCTTTTTCTGTTGCATCTTTAAACCGTCGATGCACTGTCCCTTTAAAAAAATATCTAAATTTGAAATTATTCTACTGAAATACCCGGTGATTCATTTTGGACGGCCCGTTTGCGGAGAATCACTAGCTTTGGTGATCCAAAATGCTCTGTCGATTTAAAATAACAATACACTGTTGTCGCATCTAAAAAAGTAACAGCAACTTAGTTATTTTTGGGAAATCCTATATATTTAGGCATTTTTGAATCATCTAAAGAGTTCTAAGCAAATTTTATGCTATATAGTATTTAACTTAACCATTTTCGAGATATTAACAGTTTAAATTTTACATTTTTCAACTTTTAAGGGCTGTAAAAGCTAAACGGTTGAATTTAGATGAAAACACATCCCAGTCTTATTATTCTATAAATTTTGATGTGACACAAACTTTAATTTCCACCAAAAGTTCCGGTTTGGGTGAAAATCCGATTTATGAAACACTAGGATAGGGAGGTGCAACCCGTTTAGTTTCTACAGCCCTTTAAAATTGAAAATTTGTGCAACTATCTCGAAAATAGCTGAGTTAGGGTAAAAATTATATGGTATAATAGGTATAAAACAATCTTAGAATTTTTCGGAGGATTCAAAAATACGAAAATATACAGGGTGTTTCATTTAAAATAACGAAGCTGCTGCTACTTTTAGGTAGATGCGGCAGCACTGTAAAGTTGAAAATATTTTAAATCGAGAAACCATTTTTGAAAAATTCAAAAACTTTAGGTTAGAGATTTTCGGTAAACATCTAATATTGGGTGTTAAAAGTTTTTGCCATTTATGGAATTGTATGGTATAGCACTGATTATTTTTAGGTGCATAGTTAAATTTTGTACAAAGGTGCCTGTATCACATCCAAAAATAACTGGAAATAAACAATTATTCCCTAAAGAAGTTATTAGGTAGGTATCAAAGAGGTTTCCAAATATATTTGGAACATCGTGCAGATAATTTATCTGTATATGGAAAAATAGAACTTTTTTTTTATTTTTAACCGACTTTAAAAAAGGGGTGGTCCCATATAAATTTGGTCAAAATCTAATAATTGAGTCCATGAGAAAATCCTAAAACTCTTAATTTTTTATGTATGGTTAGTAATAATGCTTTACCACCTTGTCCGATTTATATGATTCTTTTTTTGTTAGTAAAGGGGTACCTCAGATGTGGTCCCATATAAATTTGGTTAAGATGCGGTGATGGCATCTGCATGTTTTTGAAGTCGGTTTTTTTAAAGTTTCAATTATTTCTAATACTTGTTTTGTTATTGGCTCCTCTGACTTGTTCTCAGATGAAACTGCAGTCTATTGACTTATTTAATTCTTAATTTTTTTTTATTTTTTTGTAATAAATGTCCCAGGTAAAGAAGCTTTTACGATTATTAGAAGCTGAACATTAAAATCAATAAGCAATTTTATTCTAACCTAACTTAACTAAGGATGAAAATCTTAATAAACTAAGATTCTACCCACTAGTGTACCTTAGAGTCTAAGAAACTTGTACACATAATTATCAAGTAATAAAAATGATTATTAAAAATTTACACGAACACCATTGCCCCTGTCTCTTGGGTCAATAGCGTTTTTCCATAGGGGCAATAGCGACTGATAGGGGTTATAGCTGTATCGATTTTAACATTGATAGGAGCTCATATGTCTGTGCCAATAACAATCAGAAATCAGAATTCTGGGCAGTACATAATTTGGCTGTCGAAATAATCAACTGGGCATAATCCTGGTATCAGTTGGAACAGACCTTATAAATCAATATAAAATTTTATTTAAAACTCAAATAAGTACAATAACTTCTTTTAATATTACTCAGTAAAAGTTTAGGAAAAACAATATAATACTGTACCTAACACATTGTATGTGACAATAAACATAAAATATGTATTCTATCTGATGATTAACAACAAAATTCTTACATTAATTAATTTCTACATTTCCAAAACAAACACCAAACAATAAATGTGACTGTTGTCTTTTCATGCTATCGTTTAACCTTGGTTCAGGTAACTTCATTATTATGTAATTTTTAGAGACAAATGATATGTCTAAGGCTTGGGGAAGATAAAAAAACATCAAATTTTTTACGATCCACATAGTACACTTTAGTATATTGACTTGGTTTAAGTTCCACCAAAAGGTAATCCAGTTTTTTAATTTCAGATATTTCGGAATCGAAATTTATTTTGACGTCACTCTCGTTGTTAGTTACTTCCATAAACGAATCGCTACTATCAGAGCTTTCAATTAATTTCTGTAATTTCAGCTTTTTGGTAATAACTGCATTACTACCTTTATTTTCCTTTCCTTTGCATAATTTAGTAACTATTTTTCTTTTTACACTGGCTGCGTTTTTTGCCTTTTCTTCTTTTTGTTTCTTTTTTTTAACTCTTCACGAAATTGACTTGAATTTCTAAGTGTTTTGTTTTTGGAATTTCGTTTTTTTTCTTGTTTGGTACTTGTTGGAAAAGAAAACAGATCACTATAAGAATTTTTTACTGTTTAAATTATAGATGACGTCGAAGATGCTGTCATCTACAGAAGGCGATTTCTGCACAATATTTTGAACACTCGGTAGTGTTTTTTCATTTTCGGTTTCAATTTTAGATGTAGCTGCGGAATCGTTCAAGGTATGCGTAGACATATTCTTATATGTTTTAACTAAGGAGTATATTCCACATCCTGAGCCTTGTTTTGTTTTAGAACCGTCGGTGTAGATATGAATCGTATCTGCCACTTCCGGCTCTTCTATTTGTTCTGTTTTAACTTTATATGGCTTATGAAAGATATATTTCGGTGAGATGAAGTCCATAAGCCAACTACATAGTACTAACCATACAAGACTATACCATCAAGTAAAAAGGATAAGAATTAAGGAATGCCCACTGATATAGTTAAAACCACATACAAATTTAAAAAAAAATCAAATTCAAAAACCAGCCAGAGAATCCTGTAAACAAGAACCTCCCATACAGTTTGATTTCGACTGGTATACATAGGATTCAAAAACCAATAATGGAGCCGGTGCTGGAATCTTTGGACTTAAGTTGATTTCGCTGAGTCTAGGAGAATACGCAACAGAGTATTCTAGGCCAAAATAATACGCATATAACACTATGTCAGAGAAATAATAAATCTGTATGTATCAAGCAAAACTATTATCATCAACTCTGATAGCTAAGCAGCCCTAAAGACAATTATCTCATCAGAAGTCAAATCTGACAAAACTAAGCAGTCAAAACAAAGTGACCTTTGCCTCTATACCAGATCTCGAAGGATATCAGGGTAATGAAAAGGCCGATAAACTATTCCGAAAAGGCTTAGATAATGATATGAGAGGCTCCGAATCCTATGGAATTGCTTAGGCATTTTGTAAGGCACCTATCAAACAATAGATGCGAGAAGAGTCTCAGAAATGATAAAACAACTATCCAGGCCAGTTCATTAAGAAACTATAGACTAAGTTCACAAAATATCTACTGGACCACAAACGATAAATCGTTAGGATAAAATAGGTCTTATTATCGGACACTGTTACTTAAGAAGGCACAGTGTTATCAATATAGCAGAAGAAGCAACAATAGGCAGTTTCTGGAAAGAGGAGACAACATTAATGCATGTCATGTGCCAGTGTGAAGGCCAGGCTAGATTAGATTAAGGTTTTTAACACTATATCAAGAAAAGCCAGATGCGTGCCGAGCCACTGTAATGGCTACTGATTCTAATAAGAAAGACAAAGCTAGACGACACTCTCTAAATAACAGAATCCCACAATAGATGGACTAGGACATTGATCTCTTCGCATTTTTCTGAAATAAGATTTCTCAGTTGTTTCAGATTATGAATTATCCTCAAAAAAAATCTTATGGTTGAATATGGAATTTCAGTATTTCTGCTTATTTTGTCACCAAGATGTTGGGTGCCTCGTATATGCCAAGGGTGACTCGAGGCCGAACTTTTGGAAAAGGATTTCTATTAGCCATTTCCTTTTATATATATTTTTTAAATAATATTCTCATGAGGGCGTGGCTCCCTCCCTGAAGCCGCACTTGGCTGTTGCACGGTCTTGTTGGAAACACTCTTTTTGTAATTCCTCATCATCTAATTGATTTATTAATTTGTCACATTTTAAAAATCGTTATATTCAAACACTTATTCAGGGTATTCTTTAAGACATTTAGCCATGCATTCTGTAATTGAATACCATTTTTAAATTTTATTTTCTTTATAAAATTTTAATAAATTTCACACAAACGTTTTGTTTCAATATCAAAGATAAAATGTCATTCTGTGGAAGTGGCTAACATATCTACCCAAAAGATTTATATTTCACATTATGATTTTATTTGATTTAAGTGATTTTCAAATGTTACTTGCCATTTAACTATATTATGAATATTTTAATTGAAGAGAATTACTAAATTTATCCGAAATTTGCTTTAGGCCTGTTGATCTTTAGTCTAGCTTAGACTGATGCAGCTTTCAATGTACCTTATATAATTAATTTTATAGATAATTACTCTGTCATGCTAATCCAACAAATATTTTTGACCAAATTGGAATTTTATTATAAATTACTCTTGAATAATGATAAAATGATTTATTTGTTTCAGAATATGGATGCAGCCATTTTGAAACGAGTTGCCAGAGTATTTAAAACGAATGAATTTAGGTTCAAAGTACCTGAAGCACTGATGGAAGGAACCCAAATCGTTTACAATCCTAAATCAGGATTGGATATCGATATGAAAGAAACTGAAAACGAATGTAAGTTTGATGTTGATGCAAATCATATATTTTCTTGATTTTATACCTATATGTTTTGTCTATCTAAAATAAAAATAGAAGAAAAGCTATTTGACAGAGTATGTAGGAACTAGAAACTTTAGACCATATGAGATTATTTTAATACATAAAAATACCTACCTACTCTTCTTTTTCATTCTTTTTATTCTCTACTAGTATCTAGAACCTACCAAAAAGTAGAATTCTAGTTAATATAAGACTCTAGCAGCAAGAACCAAACATTTGAAAACATTTACTATTGACTTTCAATGCATTGTAACAATATTTTTCCAATCTTGTAGCTCGTGGTCTTGGTTTGAAGAAGAAACTCCTCTTGCCCATTTTGCTCCTGTTTAAATTGAAGATGAAATTGTTGCAGCCCATATTCAATGTCCTACTTTACCTTAAAGCAACCAAAGCTCTAATTATGAGCAAGTTGGCTATTTTGATAGTTATTGGATTCGTTGCCTACCAATTGTTAGGAAAATCAGGTAAGTTGATCAGTAAATTAATCATTAAAGTAAGTAAATTGATCAATAAAGTAATTAAGTTGATCAATATTGTAATTAAGTTGATCAATAACGTAACTAAGTTAATTAATAAGTAAATAAAGTGCTTAATAATCTCAATATTAAGTAAAATAAGGACATATTTATTTTTACATTGCTTTTAGGTATGCCCATGGCCATGTCTATGGCACCAGCTGAACCTCCCTCTCCTCTCTACGGGCCACCTTCTTCTCCACCACCACCGATGAGCTCTTACGACCCCTCTTGGGAACCCAACAATGGTGGCCCGTACCAGAGGATGTACACTGTCTCCAGTGATCCCCAAAGCCTTGCTTATTCTGCATACTTTCCAGGATCTTCTGGAAGTTCAACGAATCGTCCTTAAAGATTTCGGTGTTTCGAAAAATGAAAGTATTTATGAATCTTAACTTAATAAACTATTTATTTTTTCGTAAAAAGGTGTTTTATTGCTTTAATTTCATTATGATAAAACCAAAAATCAAACTACACTTTTGGACTAAAAATGGCGACGATTAGAAGCATGTTGCGACATCTTTTATCTGTTATCTAAGGCAACTCAGTAGAATATGAAGAATTATTTATTAATTTGCGGGCGCCATCTATACGTTAAAATCACAATTGCTGGTGAAAACATTTAGGTATCTACTTACGCAACGTTGCCAAAGGTTTAAAAATGTATGAAAATCTAAGACTATTTTATTTAAATAATCTCTTTTACATGTTATTGTTGTAATTGATAATGTTTGTTATTGTGTCTACAAAATAGTTGTTATCGCATATTAATTATGAGGATATGAATGTATATTAACGTTTTGAATGCACGAATACGTGTATTGTGTAGTAAATTCCTGTTTTTAGCAAAAAAAATTGTTAAAACAGGTTTTAAAATAACTAAATTATTAAAATAATTATAAATACAATAGATGATTATATTTTTATAAGATGCATATGATGAATGAAAGCACAAATCAGTAATTAGAAGCAAAATATGTAAAAATAATAATAATATACTAAATAACTAATAATTCATAAGTAATTAGGTATGTACCTAGTTTTAAAGTGTATGTTAAAATAAAGAGAAATAAATAAAGTTAAAGAATTAAAAATTCCAAATATGAGTCTGTCATTGGTCAGAAAGTTCAGAACTCTGTGGACATTACTTTTCCGACTAGGTGGATCGGTTGAAATAAACCAGGTTTGTAGCCTCCTAGGACATCAGATCTAAATCTGTGTGATTTTTTTAAAATTTATTTTGACTTGTCTGATCTGCATATTTAAAAAATCAAGTATCGCCTAAGTAATCATCTTGAGTGTCCTTTTTGCATTATATTATTTTCTTATAGCATATTTAACAGGCACCTCTAGATCTTTCAATGTATGATATACAGGATGCCCCCGTCCCCAAAACATACCAATAAACTCTAAGAAGTGATAGAGAACATCAAAACGAATTTTTTTTGTTTAACATATGTACGCAAATAAGACGTTTGTGCAGAAAAAAGGGAAAAGAAAAATGGTTGTAGTCACTTCTGTTTATTTCAGTGATAAATAATTAATATCAATTTGAAAAATTATCAGAAGTTAAAATTAAAATAAAATAACTTAAAAATTTTATTGCAAAAATTGCATTGTGTTCACTGACTCGCAGATCCTATGGAATATTCAAGGAGTAGCTTCTACATGTGTTAAACTAGCCATTATTATTGCAGTTTATATAGGCCGACGGCGTCGTAACCTTGACCAGGCCGTATAAACTAGCAACGCTGATATTATTCCTTTCCTGCTGGGACTAATGCTAACTTTCTGTAGTTTTTACATTAACTTGTGCAAAACGTATTGGAAAGCGTTCTATAGCCGGTACGGTTTAAACGGGTTCTCATTGCGGAAATATCTTTTTAAATGTGTAGCATTTTTATACTCCCATATCACGATAACCGTAATAATTTAGATAGGAATTAATTTTGAACTGATTGAGATAAACGAATTTATTTAGCAATCTATAATCTGATTTATGTTGACATATTTTAGCTTTGTTTTGTCGGAAGACTAACAAATTGATATATATATATATATATATATATATATATATATATATATATATATATATATATATATATATATATATATATATATATATATAGACGGGATGTTTATACATAGACGTACCATACATTTACTTTAACATTAACCATTTACCCTTAACAAATATATGAAAAGTAGGAATTTATAATGTCAAAATTATTTTATGTTTTCTACTTTTACTAAATTATTATTTAAATAATTATCTATTAATCTAAATGCCTATTTTATATACGCCTATGTTCATTTACTTGTGCAGTGTCCTTGAGAAATATTATTTAAATTAACTAACATCCTTTTCTCTGGTTATTATTGATTTCATACTTACCAATGATTTTCATACTTTCCATTAAGGATAAAACGCTTATCAAATCGGTAAAGGAAAAGGCTGAAACCTAGATAATCTTCATACCCATCATTCCTCATCCTCACTTCGTAGATATAATTTGAAAAGAAAGAGTAACCACACTGGGCTTGATCTAAAACCAGTCATCACATTTTTATCTTTTTCGAATCTTCTATAAGGTTCTGTATAAAGGTACCTCTATCTATACAGACAACGGTTTTGAAGAATAAGTAAAATAAGTGACATTGACAACTCTCTGGTGCTATGTGAATGGGTACAAGGTATAATAAGAATATACCCTTTCCACTTTTAAAGTAGGTATAAAACGGTACCGATGTAACACTTTAAAATTTTTTAGGTTTTAAAAATGCTTTAATATGTTCAATAAAATGATATTAGTATTAAAGTTATTTTAAAACATACTAAAAGTTCTTACAACTTATTCTTATGCAAATAATTTAAAATAAAAAACAATTTGCTCTTAATGTCGTATTGGTCTTATACTGGTTTTATAACACTCTTGACATTGGCTATCTTAAAACAGCTTGGCAATTTTAAAGGAATAAATAGCAAGTTGGTTTTAAAATAATCCATTTTGAAACAAATAGTTTTAATGTAGTTTTATGGAGTACCCTTGATGTATTCATTAAAGCCCATTAAGAAAACTAATTTAGCTTAAACCTATATATTCAATAAAAATTCTCATTAAATCTAAGAACATAATTTTTACCTTTTAAAGAGTACATTAAGAATATTTTAAAGCTTAAACGTTTTAATTTAGTCAGTTGGGTTAAAAAATGCCTTTTGAACATTTGACGACTTTATTAAAATTAATTCTACTATTACCTACTTCATACGTGAAATGTAATGTAACAAAGTGTACCAGTAATATGCAAAGCTTACTATTTTTCAAATTAAATTAGGCACATAAAGATGAAAATTCAGTAAATGCAGAAATCACAAAAACGGCAAAATTTGTGAACTTAGGATTTCATTCGTATGCTTTAAAATAATAAAGCCACGAGGTTGAACATTTTAAAGCTACTTGGTTTTAAAATGAAATGTAAACAGACATCTGTGAGAGTAATTGTACTTAAAGTGGTAAATAAAAGGCTGTTTTGTAAGATTTAAAATGTTCTATGAATTTTCAATCAGTTTTAATTTAGTATTTGCAGCAAATATATTTTAAATGCAAAACGTCGGTTACAAGATTTAATACACACATTCATAAAAGCGGAACGTCAGTGAATAAGTTTTAATGCATAAATTTAAAGTTGCCTTGAAAAACTCTTTAGGAATATAAAGTTAAAACTAAATGGTTATAATATAGTCTTGAAGGCCTCTTTAGTATGGGCCCTTTTTGGTTAGATGCTGCTTTATGGTGATCTTGGGGCTGCTCTTTTAGGATGGGACCTTCTTGGCTAGAAGCTGCTTTATGTGGGTCTTGAACCTATCTTGAAGATCATTTGGATTTATTCAAAATTGTATTGTATAGTTTTAAAGCGACTTTAAAGATCGCAGTAAGAGCATTAGTGTTGCTTGGGTAGGTATCGATGAATCCATAGAATCCATAGAAGTTTGCTGTTTTAAATATCGCTTCATCTAGTTAGAACATCAGACCTACCTACAGTAATATTTATGAATCACTAGCTAGTTATACCTCATATTTATTAATAAATAATTAAAAATATACAGAGTGTTTCATTAGTAATTGTCCATATCGTAAGTACAGAGTCACTGACCCAAAATATGATTTAAACTGAAACCTTTAGCTAAAATATCCCTTCTACTCATCTAATTGAGATTTTAAACATTATTTTTGTCCCCTGTTACACATAATATTTTTTGTTTATGCTTGGAAAAAGTTTATGTATGTTAGGCCACTAAATTATTGTGAAAGATAGTGTCTCACTATTATCAGAGGTGTACGATAGGGGTAGACTTAGCTTCCCCCTCTACATTCTACGTCACTATCGCATTCGCAATATATTTTTTATTGATTTCTAACTAAATCTCTTGTCTCATTGTGATAGAATCTGTGGTTTTCGAGATATTTGTGGACAAGGATATTTTGTTCTCAAAATTCTCAAAATGCATTCTCATAGCCGCAAAAATTGAAAAGATCAAACTAGATGAGAGGTTTATTCATTTTTATGATCAAGCTTAGTGCAATCGACGAAACTTATGTGCAAACATTAAAAATAAATTATTTAGGGACCTTACTTTTGACTGCAAATATCTTGAAAACCCATTGATTATATCTCAGTGACTAAGAAAATATTAAGGAATAATTAATATGTCATTATGATGCTTACAACAGTGGCTTATAATTTAGAGCCAAGTCACTATCCCTAACTTACTCCTCTAGTACCAGCGAGAAACTATAATTTAGAATAGTGTACTAATATGTTTTAAATTTTTGCCAAATATCTTCAAAAAATATTGTAAGGTATCGTAACAGTTTAGAGGAATAATATATTTTCATGGCAGCCATTTTCGACCGGTCCGGTCCTGCTCTACTGCCATAAATCTCTCTCTGCCTTATTTGGGTATTTTACAGCCTCTATTCTCTCTGTTACCAAGAAAATTCGACAGAACAAGTCAATTTGCGAAATCCTTTTGATACGTCCATAGACATCATCAGTAAATTATTATGCTGGATTGTAGTAGATCCTTCGATGAACGACAACAAAACAACAATTTTGTGAAGACACCGGTCTAACTTATTCAAAAAACGCCACATATAAACATAAATAGTCTTAGTTTGCCGTTATAACTCAGTTTCAGTTAAAATATCGTTCTGTTCAGATAAATATCATTGGTAAAAGAGATATAAATAATCAGTTTTATATTTAGTACAAATAAATAAAATGATTAAATAAATAAGTGTTAGTGAACATAAATTAAAAAAAAACAAACTGTTTAAATAAATGAAACTTTTTGATATATTTTGAGTTAAGTATGTAGGTCCAGCATTCTTCAGTTATAGTCTGAATAATTTTTAATGAAACGCTCTATATATATAAATAGCTTCTTGGCTTATTACTATACAGGCAGGCTAATTTCAAAAAAGAACTTTTTGAATTTCAACTTCAATTTGACATTTCTCTCTTCACTATTAATGAAAGTGATGTAACAAAATACAAAGAATTTATATTTCATATATCTAATACAACTATGAAACATTACGGTAAATGACATGGTCAAAAAAAGAGATAAAAAGAGAAAAAAACAAAATCACAGATACGACCAGAAGATCAAGTGCAAGAGGAAGATTAAAGAAAATATAGTTAGACTGCTCGACGAAAGATCATCATCTTCGACGCATGATTTGTATCAACTTAGAGGTAATAGACCAAGATTAGATGGTATCGGTAAGAAATGTAAGTGTAAGAAGAAACAATCACAAAGCGTTTGTAAATTAAGGTAATTTAATTATTTTTATACATAATATACGAAAAACAATTTTTTTTTTAAATTTGGTAGTTTTTGGGGAGGGAGATAAATTTAATTTACGCACCCCTAGGATCAGGGAGTGTATACACTACTCACTCCACCTTCACCGCTGGCCTCTCGGATTCGTTGTTAAACTTCCAAAGAGTTTTGTTGATTGCCAGCTTACATGGTCATCCTATTATTTCTTCAATGTTTTTATTTTCCATTACTTTATCGAAAAAAAAAAAAGGTTACTGCTGTTCAATCCTTTCTCATTCTCAACATTAGGTCTGCAATGTTATATCGAGTTGAGTTCCTTTCTGTTTTTAAGGCTAATTCGGTGATTTCTGTCCAATCTTATGCATCCAAATAGAATATGATCTAGCGTATCCATTTCTCTACATTACTGGTATAGGTTATCATTATTTTATTTTTCCTATTTTCTTGCTAATTATTTTAAACTGTGCGTGCGTCGTAAAGTAGTACAAAACCTTATGCTTATACCCCTATCATGCTGTAACGTCTGCTATTACCTATTACAGTCGTTTTCCGTCTAGCCATTCTGGTATTCTTAGATCATTATCCCTGTCACTTAGCAATTGACCGTTTCCTCGTGTCTTCTTTTGCTATTTCCTAGATTTCCTTTGGTACATTTGGTAATAGGAGATGTACTGGTATAGTTATAACTTGGATTGCCTAAAGCAATACTGATCAGTTTGATATTTCCACTCTCATTATCGTCTTTCCCAGTAGCATTTGACCCCGAGGAGTAGTTCTAGATTGCTACTATGAGATTTGCTTATCATATCGTTGGTTTTCTTTGCCACCTCATTGATGTGGAGTTCAAAGCTGCCTATGCCGTCTATGACTAAGCTTAGGTATTTGAGTTGCTTCTTTGGAATCTTACTCTGGACGTTTTTCATTTCACCTTTCACCAGTGATCTCTGAGAACCAACATTTCAGGTCTTTTGTTGCCAATTCATTTTTTCTCTCCATCCATGTTACTGTTATATGTAGCGCTTCGTTTACCTGATCTTCTAGATCTCTGCCGCCTTTAGCTCTTACGAGCAAGGCTAGATTATTTGCAAAGCCGATTATCTCGCATCCCTTCAATAGTTCAATAGTTGTATTTTATGTTCCACATGGTAAGGGAATGGTCAATCCAGATAGCACACTGACGTTACAGCGACTTCATTTAATGGTCATCTTGATCTTCCGTTACAAAGTTTTTTTTAACATAAAAGTGACGTTAACGTCAATATATCCCAGCCCAGTGATGTCATTTTGTGACGCTACTAGGACCTAAATTTGTAACGTTGCTATGGCGTTATATAGTTGTGCCTATAAGCAGGCTCTGCAGGGCTTATAGTAAATAATAAAACAAATAGATAGTAACCGTCTCTATGTTAAACTAATCAAATAAAAAAAAAATAAACTTAAACATTAAACACCACGGATACTAAAAATAAAATTACAGAAGAAACTGCAAAAGTATTAACAAGTCATTAAATATAAAAAATTTATTTATTTTTTAAATATTTTGTTAGAGCATTATACAAAGATAATTGCCTGTAAGGTGTCCAACAGACTTCTCTTCTTGGAGGTGTATTATAGCCGGGTCATCCTCAGAGTCATCCTATATGTACATAATATATTCAATGGCTAAAATATAACTATTTATTTGCTCTAAAATACATAACTTAAGGAATATAATAATCTGATATATTAACAACAAAATGTCCTGCAATATTAACGTACCGATCACTTTATATAGCGTGAGATAATATAACTCAATTTTTCTTCTTTTTCCTACTTTGTTTTTTCTTATTTGGTCCTCACCAGATCAGCGATCAACCATCAAAATATAAAATTACGTGGTATTGACGTCACATTTAAAACGTCTCTGGGACATCACTTTAAGATGATGTGACGTCCGGGACCAATTAACACCAAAAAGTTACTAAAAAATAACGTCAGTGTGCTATCTGGGAAGTAACAATGGCTATTTAATTCCTGCCGTGGAAAATGGTCGTCGATATCCTCATTAGCCACCTCAATAATTACAGTCATCACATAATAGCGTATGCAGATGACATGGTCATTCTGCAAAGAGGATATTTAGAAGAATGCAAGTTATTGAACTGTGTTGCAACGGCATTTTACTCTCTATTAACATCAAGAAGACTGAAATGGTTTTTTATTAGAAAGGAAAAGAAAAATGGATTTAAAACCTACAGGATCTCCTAAACATAAAGATAAGCTTTGAAACAGAGGTAAAGTAGCTAGGTCTCATCTTTGACTGTAAGTTACCAAGGAAGTCACACTTGAAAAACAGAGTCAAAAGAGCATACATTGCTTATGTACAATGCCGTGGAACCGTGGGACTCATCTAATGTTTCTTCCCTAGAGTTCACATGAACTTACACGGCCATAATAAGAGCTATGTTAACATATGGTGCAGTTGTCTGGATACCGAAACTGCAAAAATTGACAGCTATCCTTAAACTACAATAATTTCAAAGTACAGCATGTCTCAACATAACACCAACCAGAGCCATGGAAGTTAATTTTAGTCTCACTTCCCTTGATATTAACATCAAGGAGGCTCTGATGACAATGACATGTCTCCGCACGGTTGGAATATAACCTGATAAGATGAGGCGAGATGTCGTTTTTGGCAGGAGGCGCTTCATATCCACCTACTACTTCAAGTGGACGTGGACTCCATCTCATCGATATATATCTTCCATAAGATATATACATTTATAATAGAACAAATAGAAGAGCCTGAAGTGGCAGATACGATTCATATCTACACCGACGGTTTAAAACAAAACAAGGCCCAGGATGTGGATATACTTAAGATCCTTAAACCTAAACATAAAATGGGCTGTGAGCAATAGTGCCAGTTTGGTTAAAACCGAGCTCACGAGGATTCTCATAGCAGCAAAACGAATTATCACAAACAATATATTTGAAAGAAACATGCTCATTTATACAAATAGCAGATAAGCACTACTCACCCTTAACAGATCACACATTTAGTCACCTTTAAAGGAATCAAAGGTCACGTTACATCAAAAGGTAACCGTCTTGCTGATTCACTAGCCAAGAAGGGAGCCGACCAAATACTTTTTGGACCTGGCCCTTCTATTGGTCCTAATTAAAGAACATTTCCTTGTGAAATTCAAGGAGAAATGGGATGAAACCAGAAACTGCAAAATTGTCATAGAGCTTTCATGTTATCCTTACAATACTACAGTAAACAAATACTTGAGTATGACTAGAATCTGCGCCTGATCACAGGCATTCTGACTTGTTTCTATTTGAGTATAATTAAACGATTTTCGTATATTCTAACTCTTTTAGATTTCGTATAATTTCTGTATATTCTGGGAAAACCTATGAATTTTTCCAGATTTCCATTTATTTTAGAAATAAATTCAGACACTCCTGAGTTTATTTGGACAACTTAATTGTTCCATTGTGACTTCTGCTCTACTTTTATTAAACAGTGACTGACTGGTAACTGGCTGCTTAATTTAGAGAAGGTCACACGCCATAACATTGAAAACAGGCTCGGAGTTAGGAATTTACCTAACCGATATTTTTTGTATCGTTGAAATGCACTTTGGAACTTTTGGCTTTTGGCAGTCTTTCTGAACGAATCTGCATTGCTACATTTATTCTGTAGGTAGTGCTTAATCTCACAAACCTAAAGCTGAATCTGGCAGCAACACAAATTTGATATTCTCATATGCAAAGATGTATTTAACGAGTATCCGCCTCTTGGCGACGTCATTGTCAACTGCAATAAATTTGTAGGCAATAAGTCTAGCGAGGCATAAGTGCCGTGAGGTAACCCACTCTATACACGTTACAGATACAGAGATACATTATGGAATATTGTTAAGAATTCACATCTTAATCAAGCTCTTCGCACCAGACAGTTCTACCAGCCTTCGGCGATGTTTGTTTTTACGAAACATCTTCATTTTACATCATGTCCATCCTATATCTATACCATGGTATAGTAAATAGCAATCAAAGCTTAAGTACCTGTGGTCAGCCCCGGATCTTGAATTTTTTTTAGGCTGGGCAAAAACACCCGCCATTGATGGACATAGGTCTCCCTCAAAGAACCCGACAACTACTGGTATACCGCTGTTCTCTCTCTATTAAGCCTGTATTTTTTTTTTCGAAAAATACCAGGATGTGTCGGACTCGGACATATATTTTAATTAGGTTAGGACAGGATAGGGTCTGAATAAAACATGAGGTTATAATTATTATTATATTGTACATTGAAATTATGATTTTACTCTTAGAGCCTTTTGTTCTGCAAACAAATGTATGACCTTCTCATAATTAATTTGATGAGCAATTTGATTTTCTATTGCTAATATGGCAAGACTTGATAAACGTTCCCGGCTCATCGAAGATCGTAGATAATTTTTGATAAGTATAAGTTTGCTAAAACTTCGCTCGCAAATTTAAACAGAATAAACTTCTAACTTGTCATTGACATTTTATCATGTGACCAATAATGTCTAGAGAGTGTTTTTTTATTACATCTACATTCAGATTTAATTCACTATCTCGTGATAAAAAATTCACAACATCTCAGAAGCATCCGATGTGGATTCTCAAACGCGGCAAATGTCAGTCATTTTATAGTTTTTTAAAATACCAATAACTTTAAAAGAAATAATCTGATTGTTAGGAAATCATACTTCTATAAAAAAATTTTATTACTACACATACACCCAAATAAGTCCAATTAATTTTTTTTCTCTCACTATTTATATATGAGATATAATAATAAAAACAGTAACAGTGAACACAGATACATCCACAAAAATATATAGGTAATAAAAACACTTTCAGTAAACACAAAGTACCAATAACTTCAAGAACAAACTTTTAAAAAAATGAAAAGCACAATAAATGTATTCCTTTATACAGGGTGTAACTAAATAAGTGTAAAACAT